TCCCCGGTGCCGGCGGCAGCCCGGCGCGCGCCGCAGAGTGTCTCCCGGGCGGAGTGACATCACGCACCGGCCTTAAAGGCGCCGCAGCGGGTCCGGCGGCGGGAGAGAGAGAGAGCGGGGCGGGAGGGGCTGGGGGGGGCGGTGCGGGGGTTTCCCCGCAGGAGCGATGCTGTCGGGGAACGGGGGGGTCGGGGTCCTCTTTACGCCGGGGTCGGTGGCCGCGGGGAGATGGGGCACCGAGGGGTTCCGTGTGAAGGGGGAAAATCAGGGTTTCTCGGGGAAGCGTGCAATAAATTCTAAAATTAAAGATGTTAAGTCCAGTGATAAAGAGCAGACTCCGGACGAAGGGTGCCCACCGGACAGGGGGTCCCCACCGGGCAGGAGGTGACTCCGGACGAAGGGCCGTTTGCTTCACTGACATCACGCTGTCCCATCTTTTCAGGAGATACCCCCAATTTCTGTATTATCTTTTCAGGAGATACCCCCAGTTTCTGTATTATCTTTTCAGGAGATGATACCCCCAATTTCTATATATTGGCAAGCAATTAACAACTGCTCCCTACCCCCTTCCTTCTCCATAGCACACACAATTTTCTTATATCTCTATTACCTGCTTCTCCCTCAGCCCTGTCTTTCCCACCATCAAGAGCAATCAGGGTTTCTCGGGGAAGCGTGCAATAAATTCTAAAATTAAAGATGTTAAGTCCAGTGATAAAGAGCGTAACTCACCCAGCCTTATCCCACTGGGAAACAGCTCCGTTTGCTTCACTGACATCACGCTGTCCCATCTTTTCAGGAGATACCCCCAATTTCTGTATTATCTTTTCAGGAGATACCCCCAGTTTCTGTATTATCTTTTCAGGAGATGATACCCCCAATTTCTATATATTGGCAAGCAATTAACAACTGCTCCCTACCCCCTTCCTTCTCCATAGCACACACAATTTTCTTATATCTCTATTACCTGCTTCTCCCTCAGCCCTGTCTTTCCCACCATCAAGAGCCCAGCTCTGTTTAGTTCCCCCTTTCATGCAAGATGCTCCTTCTCACTCTCTCCAGTCATTCTTTTCTTTCAAGTCTCTGACCTGGGCAGACAGAACCACAAGTAACAGGAACCCCTCCGGTCCCCGGTGCCGGCGGCAGCCCGGCGCGCGCCGCAGAGTGTCTCCCGGGCGGAGTGACATCACGCACCGGCCTTAAAGGCGCCGCAGCGGGTCCGGCGGCGGGAGAGAGAGAGAGCGGGGCGGGAGGGGCTGGGGGGGGCGGTGCGGGGGTTTCCCCGCAGGAGCGATGCTGTCGGGGAACGGGGGGGTCGGGGTCCTCTTTACGCCGGGGTCGGTGGCCGCGGGGAGATGGGGCACCGAGGGGTTCCGTGTGAAGGGGGAAAATCAGGGTTTCTTAGGGAAGCGTGTGGTAAATTCTAAAATTAAAGATGTTAAGTCCAGAGATAAAGGGCATGACTCACCCAGCCTTATCCCACTGGGAAACAGCTCCGTTTGCTTCACTGACATCACGCTGTCCCATCTTTTCAGGAGATACCCCCAATTTCTGTATTATCTTTTCAGGAGATACCCCCAGTTTCTGTATTATCTTTTCAGGAGATGATACCCCCAATTTCTATATATTGGCAAGCAATTAACAACTGCTCCCTACCCCCTTCCTTCTCCATAGCACACACAATTTTCTTATATCTCTATTACCTGCTTCTCCCTCAGTCCTGTCTTTCCCAACATCAAGAGCCCAGCTCTGTTTAGTTCCCCCTTTCATGCAAGATGCTCCTTCTCACTCTCTCCAGTCATTCTTTTCTTTCAAGTCTCTGACCTGGGCAGACAGAACCACAAGTAACAGGAACAGACCAGGCATTCAGCAGCACAAAGATATTTTCTGTTTTGATCTCAAACCCTTTTCTGGCAATTCCTAACATGCCTTTCTGATTGAGACTGAAGACTGGGCTCTCTTTCCAGAATAGTAAATACCTGATTTTGAGCCCAGCCTGGCTATTGTGCCTCCTGTGTGGCACTTTTAATTAGTAAAATCTAATGTCTTACACCTGAATAGCAGCCACTCAATAGCAGGACATCCTTCTGCTCCTTAACCACATCACTGATCTCCTTCTGCTCACCAGCTCCATCAGAAAACTCCTCCAGGACTTCAGGGGCATGACTTTGCTCCACAACAGATGCTTTGGCCCTTTGAATGACGATATACATCTGTTTCATCTGGCTGTGCTTTACTCCATCCCAAAGTGAGTTTTGGTCTATAGAGGTCAGATTTCTGCAGACAGCAGTTCCTTGGATCAGTTTTGGAGGCTTTCTAAAAGGATTGGCATCAGGTTTGCTGCATTGCCTTCCTGGAATACCAGATGGGGTTTTGTTGAAATGCATTTTGTCTTCATGTTCTCATAACTACGGAACATGTTGAGAGTTCATAAACAAGAAATTCTGAACGCCAAAATACTGGCTGAAAATATAAATATTTTTTCTTAAATAATTAGTGTTTTAATTTCCATTGATAAATAAATATTTTCCACAAAAAGAGACGTAATTATTCAAGCCAACCTTAAAACAATGTCCCCTTGTGTGCGTGCACATATAGAGAAGAAACCTTATCGCCGATTTGGCTGAAGGGAGGTTTTGTCTAGAAAATGCTTATAGAAATTTGATATTAGGTGCATCGTTATCAGCTCAGATAATCTATACCTGAAACCTTAGATTTTTCAATGTATATAACACTGCCTGTTCTGCATGAGGAGGATTCTCCTCAAGCACCGGGTCTCAAATGGTGCAGAGTGGGTTTCAGGGGTCTGTGGTCCTGGATGAAAGTTGGGGACACCATGTGGCACAAGCAGTGTGGAAACCCAACAGTTATTTGTTTTCTCAAATAGATTTGTTCTTTTCTTTTTAGAAGAAATGGGATTCCATATACACAGTAATACAGAAAGAGGATACTGTCCTCATTTTTCATGCATATTTTCTTGCAAAGCCAGAAGAAGAGCTGGCTGAATGAGGTAATTATTGAGATAGCAGCATTAATCATTAATCGTATGCATTCTCTTTAACGGTAACACATTTCCACGCCAGATTTAGAACATCTGTTAACTGATTGCACAAAGACCATTTCCAGTATTCCAGGAGAATACTGGAAATGGTCTCCGTGCAATGTTGAACCAAGAGTTGAAACCAAATATTGCGGAGAGTTAATTTTAAACAACTCCTAGCCTAGAGGAGGAAGGCGGAGGAGCTGGGAGGGATAAAGAAAGTGAACTGAGATGCTCTTGTATCTGTGGGCACACTCACCCAGCAGCATGCAGGGGTGCAGGACACTTTGGCTTTTGCTCTTGGCTGCTGTTAGCAATGCCCCAAAACCACAGAGATCAGCCCCAAAGCGGGCAGAGAACTGTGCACAAGGTCGTGGTGCTTAATATTCAAATCCTGTGCCGCTGCTGGTCCGTCTGCAGGCATTTTGCTGTTATACTGGAGCGAACTGGGACCCGTTAGAGCAAAGCAGAACTCCCTTGCTTTGGAGAGTGGCACTAGCAGGGGCATCTTTGCCCTCAGAAAGACTTCCCCACGTGCTGCTGAGTCCCACCAGCGGGGTGAGAGGCTCGTGGCTCTTATCTTCAGCCGACAGCGTGGAGCACACTGCTGGGTGTTGAGCCCCACACGGCTCCCAGCTGACGGAGGATCTCCTCAGACTGATAAGAGGCAGCAATGCCATATGGAGAACTGGGAAGGAAGGAAGGAAGAACCTCCCTGCTGCTCTGAATCCCACCCTGGGCTTGTAGCCACTCACAAGTGCTGGTGAGAGGGAGATGAGGTGTGTTCTTCACTGTGAGGGTGGTGGAGCACTGGAACAGGTTGCTTGTAGGGAGATGAGCGTGGTTTCGGTTACGGATGGGGAATCCTCTTCCTCCTCCCAAGAGAGACCTGGGGTTTCTAATTGACAAGCAGCTGAATATGAGCCGGCAGTGTGCCCAGGTGGCCAAGAAAGCCAATGGCATTCTGGCTTGTATCAAAAATAGTGTGACCAGCAGAAGTAGGGAGGTTGGTTTCAGTTACGGATGGGGAATCCTCTTCCTTCTGCCAAGAGGGGCAACAGGGAGATTGTGTCATCCTCAACACTCCTGATTCTGCCTCCTCCTCAACCACAAACCCATCATTTTTCACCATTCCACGCTCTGTTGACCAGCTTACCTTCTTTCCACAACAGGTTTTGACGCTGCTGATGAAAGGGAAGAAGTTTCCCATCCTCTTACCAGGGGCTGTGTGCAGGGACTGGGGTGGACTCGGTAACTCGTGGTAAATTCACACTTAATCACTCCGGGAATGAAAGAAACCACTCTGCAGGGACAGAGTATGTTAGAGATGAAAGGAGATTATACATTTCTTGTCCAACTGTAAAAGATTTCTGAGCTATGATGCATTTCACTGGAAACGCAGCTGATCCAGGGATAAATCCTTTTTAAATATTAACGTATTAATAACATACAAGGGTTTAAACTTCTGGGCAAGACAGAAGTAAAATAACATTAAATCTCACTGCTGCTTCCAGAGTCACTAGTCATCAGCAGCTAATGCTTGGTGTCTCTTTGAAGGGCCGAATCCCACGAGCAGAGGCCAGTCCTGCCTCCTCCTCAGCCACAAACCCATCATTTTTCACTGCTGTTGATCAGCTTACCTTCTTTCCACAACAGGTTTTAACACCACTGATGAAAGGGCAGAAGTTTCCCATCCTCTTAGCAGGGGCTGTGTGTTTTCTCTGGGGGAGCACTGCAGTGCAGGGACTGGGGTGGACTCGGTAACTCATGGTAAATTCACACTTAATCACTCCGGGAATGAAAGAAACAACTCAGCAGGGACAGAGTATGTTAGAGATGAAAGGAGATTATACATTTCTTGTCCAACTGTAAAAGATTTCTGGGCTATGATGCGTTTCACTGGAAACGCAGCTGATCCAGGGATAAATCCTTTTTAAATATTAACGTATTAATAACATACAAGGGTTTAAACTTCTGGGCAAGACAGAAGTAAAATAACATTAAATCTCACTGCTGCTTCCAGAGTCACTAGTCATCAGCAGCTAATGCTTGGTGTCTCTTTGAAGGGCCGAATCCCACGAGCAGAGGCCAGTAAATTAAAAAGCAATGTAGAGAAACACCCTGAAGCAATGTGTGAGCAGTGATAAGAAGACAACTCCATGGGTTGCAACAATCAGGCAGATCCAGGCAGCGGGAAGACATGTCAGGGGCCACATAGCAGAAATAGTTATACCCTCCAGGAGCTACCCAACAAGCTTGTTTCTGTGGGCAGTGAGACATGAGTGATTTCTCTGCAGAAATGCGCAAGGAAGATGGATTAGGGACTATGAAGACACCAGAAACAGGCATGGAGAGCTCCACTATCACTGGCTGCAAAAGCTCATCTCTGCCCTTCCTTGTTGAAGACCTGGGTAGGTTTTACTGGAGAAACAGTGTCCCAGGAAGTATTAGGCAGAGGGAAACCCTCTGGTCTTTTCATCAGCCATTTGTGTATGGTGTTATATAGGGAACACCTCTAACAAGTGCCTGAAGCAGCTGAAGTCCCATGAGAAGATATGTCTCCAGACCTACAAGCAAGGCTCAGATGATGAAATTGCATAATGCTGGAGCAGACCTCCTGGGACAGGCCACTCTCAGTGTAGAGAGACCAGGAGATTCCCAGTTACATCCAGCGTATCCTCCCGAATCACAGCCTGGCTGAGCACCAGCCAGCAGTCAGGGGAAATGTCCCACGAGCAAGCCCCTAGAACCACCCAAGATGCTCACTTGAGGGCCCTCTCTGGTGTATGGAAGGTCTTCCTCTGCTACTATTTCTGGAGAGCAAGAGAAGCAGCATCACCTGGAGCCTGGAGCCACAGTCCCACCCAGGCAAGGCTGACCCTTCCAGATGCCAAGGTCTTCCTCTGCCACAATTTCTGGAGAGCAAGAGAAGCAGCATCACCTGGAGCCTGGAGCCACAGTCCCACCCAGGCAAGGCTGACCCTTCCAGATCGAGCTGGAGCCACACTCCCACCCAGGCAAGGCTGACCCTTCCAGATGCCAAGGAGGTTTTGGCTGAGAAGAACCGTCTCAGTAAGGACACGCTTGAAGCTGAGAGCAGAGCAATGCTGCAACAGGCAGCTACAGTATGGAAGAAAAGCCATTTTTCTCTGTCCCGTCGGGAGGAGACAGCCAGCTGTGACTCACACTCCCTGCTCCCATCCCCCGGGTTCATTTTTGACACAGCAGCTATTGATAAGACCTTGAAAGAGCAGGAAGTTTCCCTGGCAGAGGTGGCTGGATGGGCAACGTGTGGTTATACTGCTAATGAGCCTAAGTGGAGCACTTTGCTCAAAGGCATGAACAAGCTCCCAAGCTTTGACTGTACCATCAACAGCCGCCTGCTCTTGGTGATCAACTCAGCCCCACCACGCTTCATGGCCAAAGGGACACTTTCACCAGCACCACCACTATAATGGTTTAATTATGGGCAGAGAGGAGAGAGAGCTGCCAAGGAGGAGATCAAGGGACAGGTTGATGTTCAACCAGAGCAGAATTTAACAGCAATAGCAACGTGAGGGTGCGATAGTGCAACCCCCACCCTGCCCTTTAGGCCTCTGGGTACTTGGCGTGATTTCCTCCCCACCTGGGTGAGGGAATGTAATAATTGAAATAATACAATGGACCAGAACGTAACATAATGGTCTACCATGAAAGAAAGAAAGAAAGGTGGAGAGCAACAGACTAGAACACTACAGCAACCTCTTAGTGTGCCTGGTCTCCATGGCTCTCACTGTTTGAAAATAATAACAATAATAAATCACGCCTGACATCATATGGATCGTGGCCACAGAGGAGAAGGATACCAGGACCCCAAGACGTAGCAAGTTCTGGGCTTGCGTAATTGGTGGAAAGTACTGGAATATTCCATTGTCCGAGCTGGGCCAGAGTGGAAAATTACCTGATGAAAGTCAATTGTCCCAGATCCTGTACGTAACGATTCTAGTAAAGAGCCTTTGAGCACTTGTGGATCACAGCAGGCTGTGGCCAGTATCTCCCCTGAGCTGGGACACTGCTTGGGCTGACACCTCAAGAATCAGAAGGCCAGGGTGAGTCACCCCTCTTGAGTCTCAATTTTCACTCGTTGAGGAATGCCGATGCGCTGTGAACATTTACTCTGAACTTGGTAAAAGGGAGAATTTTTAACTCTCTTCCATCCACCTCTCCACTTATACGTTTATGATGTACACAGTTTTGTGGATGTGGGTGTTCATCCATTTGTCTGTGCACACAAAGGAGTTACAAGAGTGCCAGCTCGTTAGAGTCGTGTGATACTAAAGGATCTTTGGTCTCAGGGATTATAAACTCCAGGGGGAGAAGTGTGTGCTTATATGCTTTGCTTATATATATATATGTATTTGCTTGAGATCTGTGCTTTCACTCATATGTGTATGTATTCATTTGGAATACTTTATAGAAAGTCAGTATGAATCTTGCAATCTTCGAATCTGTAGTTAAGTCAAGTCACTGTTCAATTATTTTGGTTAAATCACTTTGTAAACCTTTACATCGGTTAGTAATTAAGTGCTGCTAAAATTCAACCTCTTGATCTACCACAGATCATTAATAAATTCTGAATTGCTGCTAAATTATAATCTAATATTTCCATCTGTGGCAGATGATCATGGGAAAAATACTTTCCCAGATCTCTCTAGGAAACGTTGACTCCCGTGACTTGGTCTTCTACACCTCAGCCCCTCCACACTCTCACAGAGGGGACTGGAGCCTGTAGGGTTGAGCAGGGAGGAGTTTTTCTCCAAGGTTAGAGACAGGAATGTCTCTGGAGGCTACAAGCAAATTGCAAGCTTGGGGAGCTTCATGCTCCATCAGCCAAGTATCTGCAACACTCACCCCGAAGTACTTACACTGCAAATATCTGCAGAGAGGCTGTGCGTTTGCTGCCCTCCAAACCGTCTGTGTTCGAGAGCCAAAGCCCTGCCCGGGCTGACACAAACTTCCTCAAACACAAAGTTCCTCACACAAACCCCACCGACAACTGAAAATTAGAATAAACCATTCTTTTCAGCTTGTGGAAGCTGGATATCTAACTCTCCAGAAACACGAATGGCAATTTGGAGTTTGGCTTTTATAAGTCGCCTGGAAAATCTCAGTAACTGGAAGCAACTGGAGTATTTAGTCCTAAAATTTAGTCTAAGTGGGGTTTTGTGTGTACATGCACGGTTATCTTCCAGCTAGTTTCCTCCATGTTCACCCCTTCAAACATCTTCCAACCCTTTTTTTCTATTTTTCTCTAGTAGGAAAGGGATTTTGTGAGGCTGCCAGCCCCAGCTGGGCTGGGGTAGAAGCTCATCATCGGGGAAAGAGGAGCAGGCTAATTTTACAAGGTGAGCACTTCTATTTGTCAGGACGAAGGATGGCAAACAAGCCAGTTAAATTGAGATCTTCGAAGTTGCTCATACTAATCAGAGTGCTTGAGAGCTGCAGGAAAATTTACGGGAGAGAAGCAAACACCACTTCTTTCTGGGCACCGATCTGATTAAACAGGCAGAGTGAGACAGTTTCTCATTTGTGTTAATGGAGAAGCATCCTTTGTTCGTGTTCAGTCCCACTGATTCCCAGCTCACAATATCCTATTTAAGCTCCATTAATTCACTGTGGAGCCTATAGGAAGAATTCATGTTGGTTCTTGCTGGAAGGACTCGCAGCATCACTGTTAGTGAAAGGAGGAATCAAGACAGCAGGGGAGAAGGGTTTGGATATGAAAAATCAGCAGAGTGAAAATTGGAAAATGAGGAGTGGAGCTTTGGGTCTGCTGAAGAAACCCTGTGCTTGTGCCCGAGCCAGGAATTCACCCTTTGTGAGCATCTTCATGACAATTTTCTGACTTTGTAAGTCAGGACTCCTCAAAGGTTCCTCTGGAGGCTCCTCAAAAGCCAGTAAGGCAGGGGAAAATGCTGCACCTCCAGCTGGGGCTGGACACATCCTTGTGCATTTTGGCTCCACAAGCTATTAAAAGACAAGAAACACCTCAAACACTAACGTCTGCAGGTGACTCCTTCCCCGTGGCCACAGGTGGGACCTAACAGTGCTCAGAGAGAGAATGTAGGACTAAGAGCTGCCTAGAGAAACAGAGACAGCACGTACACTGGAGCAAAGAGGCAGGCCTTCTGCTGAGCTTTTAGAAAGTGAAGCTACAAGTATTTCAAAGGAAAAAACAAAGTCAAGGCAATGCTGGCAAATCCAATTGCTCACTGCGTACGGTCACATTCACATCCAGGCAGTTGGGTCTCAGCAGCCTGGGGACTGTGGCTCCTCCTGACCATGTCACCTCCCTGGATGACAGCATCTCACACTGGTTTTTGGTGCTGCCATGGGACAGTCTCAGCACTCGTTTCCACATATGTAAGACTGATGGGCTTCACAGCAGGGGCTAGGTCTTGGCGTGGATGCTTTTCCCTCTAGAAGGACATGGTTCAGAGCCCAGATGTGGTCCAAATGGTGACTTTGCAGCAGCTATCCAAGGCTCATACTCTTCATAATTTCCAAGGATGCTTATTCTTCATAATTTATTATTTTTGCAAATGGCTCATTGCTGTGAATCCTTGCTGTCATTCCAGAGTCCAGTGTGACCACTACCAAAAGTTATGCACAAAAACTTCAGGTCCAGCCTGGACAAGCATTAGAAGCTGCTCTTTGGTTTGTTTGCCCAGCAGATATTTATCACTGTTGCAATGCTGACTAATTACCTAATTGTGTGGATCGACACCTTTCCTCCAACACCTGTGGAAGCAACAGAAGGAACTTGCTGCAATAAACTTCCCCCGGCAGCAAGAGCTGCGGTTTGGTCCCTGGAGGAAACCAGACCCAAAGGAGGGGTTTCCACGTTTCCCCCTGAAACATGATGATTTGATAATATTTGGGCAGACAGTGCCACCAAAAGGAAACGTGATGAATTGCCCAGCCAAAAAAAAATTGCCTTTTGCCAGCACTTTTTGAGCAGTTGCTATGACTACCCTCCCTCCACAGACCCCTGCTTTGTTCCCCCATCAGCTCCTCAGAGGGTGCTTTGGTGCATCCATCAGAAACACACACAGAGCCCTCCTAAGGCTCCGGACTTGAGAAATTAATGGTTTTAGCCGTTCAGCTAAGGGAGAGTCTCTTTTCAGCCCAGCAGCTAAAGATTTTCCCAGCCCTATACAGCACGATCTTATAAAATTCCTTGAATACTGAATTGCGACACGTGGAGAAATCTTATTTTTGATAGTTTTTAGATAACATGTGCCTCTATGTTTTGCAAAACAACACTGCCTTTGCTCCTGATTTTCTGGAAAACTTTTTTTTTTGTTTTGATAGCAGTCAGTACCAACAGAAATTAAACATGAGAATTTGCCTGGACCTTTAAAGTGCCTATTTCTGCAGCTGACTTCACTCTGGGATGTGACTGAGTGGCTGAGCCTGAGCCTGGTCCTGGTCCATGGTCTGCCTCTGACCACAGCAGCTGGAGCATCCCAGAGACCCAGCCTGGATCTGCCAGACAGGGATGAGGGACTTCACATCCAATGCGCTTTATATCAAGCTGATATCTCAACCACGACTTTCTCCTAAGTTAATGAGAAGTTGAAATAAGGGTCTTCATTTATCCAGGGAGATGGATTAAAATGCTTTTCCCAGGCTGGGTTCTCCCGGCTCCCGCTGCCGGGGTGGCTGCAGAGGGTGCTGTTAACCTGCACACACCAGTGGGACAGACCCCGCCGGCTGCTGCAGGCCCTGTCTGTGTTCAGGGGGGGATATTAAAGAATTTTGCTCCTAGGATGTCAATTCAGGCTCTGCACAGACCTGTCTGTACAGTCCCACCTGAAGGCTTCCATTTAAGATGACAGGAAAAAGCCAGGTCCTGTTGGCACACCCCATCCAGCTGCCTTCAGTCTGTATCTTGGAAAAAACATTGTCTTCTGCTTTGATATGGAGCGTAGCAGGATTTTGCAGCTCCCTGCTGGGTGTCAGCACGCCCTGGGTGTCCCCAGAGCGAGCAGTGATGGGTTTGAGGGGGGCAAAGCTGGCAAAGGGGGGGTTGGTGGGGACCAATTACTTGGAGCCGAGCAGGAAGGATCAATGAGCTTCACACAAGTTGTGATCTCTTTACTAGTGGGGGAGGATCTATATCCACATTTCTTATTAACCTGATGATGAGGAAACCACAGCTTGGCCTCCCTGCACTGCTGAAGCATAAAAATAGCCCTTTATCACCAACCAAAGGATCCTTGTCCCTTCCCAACATTTGAATTTCATTACCAATGACAACACGGTTGTTACCTATTTTACCCATCTGAAAATGCCCCATTTTTTCATGGGGAACAGGCTGGGCACAGCTGGGCTGCATCAGTCCCATCCTCAGGGCTGAGAGCTGGAGCTTTTCTACAGCATCACATCTCAGGAGGCAGTGAAAACTATTTCACTCCTCTGGTAGGATTCAAACTTTTCATTTTCTGTTTCCAGAGGCAGCTTCTTGCCCCAACTAATGATAAAACCAGGATGTGCTCCCACTACCAAACACTGCCCTCTGCCCTTTCCTCTGATATTCCCTGATTTGCCACGGGGCTGAGGGGACGCTGCAGGTTTCACTGCAGTGATTGCAGGGTGTTCACCAGGACGGGGCAGGGACGGGGACATGGATGAGGGTGGCAGGTGATGGTGGGGGCTGTGAACCCCCTCCAGTCCTGGAGGAGCTTTCACAGGACTCAGCAGCTGAGATCATTTTTTCATGATGGCTTTTAAATCCCTTTCATTTCAGCATTAAATGCACATGCCTTGCTCATCATCGACTACGCGATGGTTTAAAAAGCTGTTTTCTTCCCTTAAAAATCCTGCCATGGTTTTACTCCTGGGTTTCCTCTAATCCTGCTGCTCTGGCCAGGGTGGCTGCAGTTCTCCCGTGCCTCTGCTCTGATGCAGACCACCTTGAGGACCGTGATCCTCAGCATTTGGCTGCCCACACGTGCCATTATTTTCCATTCAGCGAGTACCTGCAGGTGCCAGCGAACAGATGCAGCCGACAGACTGGTCTGAACGGGCCAAGGGTGCCCTTCTGAGTCAGGACTGTGACATTTTGGGGCCAAGGGTGGCGAGTGCCCTTCTGAGTCAGGACTGTGACATTTTTACATATGGAATATTGTTGCCTTCTCAGGCTTTCAGTTTTATTCAGTTGGATCGTGTTTTGTTATTTTTAAATAATAGTTTCAGCATCATTTCTCTGGCTTTCTACCTATCTCTATAACAAAAAGTAATATTAGAGGACAGAGTCTAAAGCCAATTGAATTTTTGTTCCTGCTGCTGTATGAGGACAAGGGGAGGAACAGACACTGGAGAGTGAGGATCCTGCCAAGGGCAGGCTGGGGCTGTGCCATTTCCAGCCTCAGCATCCCTCAGACAGGGCACGTGGTACCCAGCCTGCTCGGCCCTCTCGCAAACAAACAACAATTTCGATTGTAAAAAGGCAGAGAAGAAAGACAAGAAGGAAAAAAAAAAAAGAAAATCCTCCCAGTGAGGTACTTACAGGAAACATCAGAAGACTCCTTCCCAAATTATCCCAAGGTCATCTTGCTCCATCCACTGTTGCTGAAAAACAGTGAAAAAAATCATATTAAAAGCTATTCCAGAACTGCTGTACATGAAAGCAAACAGAAACTTTCAGCCTGTTTTATTACCCCATAGCTGCTTGCTGCTGCACGGTGTTTTCTTTAGTCTGGGTGACCCAGACCTCAAAGCTGCACCCGTAGGCACCATGTCTGGATGTGCCTTGGCTTCATCCCCATCTCTCCTCGGGTGTCCCAGCTCCATCAGCAGAGCTGCTCCACCAGGGAAGGTCCCGAGGAGCCCAGACGGGAAATAGCTACAGCAGGTAGAGCTGTAGCTGCTTGCTTTGGGCACTGAAGTTGCTTGGGGCCACTTTTAGCACAGTTAATGTAATTAGTGTAATTAGCAGCATTAGTGCTGTTAACACACACACATGTTGGGGCCTGGATTGAGCCACCTGAGCTGCTGCTGCTGCTTCCTACCAGCTCAGCTCCAGCACGGACCTGCAGCCGGGCTCCCCGTCTGTGCTGTCTCCTTTCCTTTTATGTGTTTTTATGTTTTATTAAAATTCAGACATCCTCGGTAGCACCATCCTAGTTTCTGTCCCTTCACTCCCCCACGGGACAGCAGCAGTGATTGCTCAAAGGAAAAAAAAAAACAAAAAAAAGAAGCCATTTGTGGTTTTTCTACCCAACTATTTCCTTGCTGCTGATTCAAGAGCGCCGTGATTTCCCTTCGGCTCCTCTGGACTTTTCAGTAGTTCCTCCTCCTGTCCATTTTCTGTGATAACTCAGTCTGAGAAACATCTGCACCCCATTAGGAGCAGCTTTGGGTACATAAAGCCGAATACAAAGGGTAAAAAAAAAACATGTTTGACGGCCGAGTCACGCTCTCATCCAGGAAGCAATCTGGCCATCGGCACGGGGTCCCTGGGGTACCCAAGCTGAAAAACAGGCTCGACCCTTATTTCTAGCACATCACTGGAGCTACTCACTCTGTTAAAATACTAAAGCTGCTGTGAATCACACCTAGAGCATGAAGAAGCTGATGTCCACTGAGTCACCTCGCAGCCTCAGCTTCCTTTTTAGTAAAAATTGCCCGGCGCAGTGTGATCATGGTGTCCCCACCCAGGGAGAGGGGCTTTGTACCCACTTTCTGGCTTTGCTCAATGTTTTCTCAAAAGCTGGAAAAAGGAGGTGCTGGAAATCTGACTCACCATCGAGGGGCTTCAAGAAGATCTGCTTTTGGTAAATTGGGGGCTGTTTGGCAAATGACCCATCAGACAGCAGTGGTTTGCCAGCTGTGCTTTATGTTTAATCTTGGTTGTATATCCAAAGTCAGCAAGGTGCTTTTTAGGGACCACAAGCTCAGTGTGGGACTGGTGGGAAACATCTCCGTTGGACTTGGGGCCCGAGTTCCTCCTGAGCCACCCGCCTCCCATGGGTGACTTCACATCCATCAACCTGCCACGGTGGTTTAAGCATGCCCTTGGCAGTCTTTTCTCAGGACATTCAGAGTGACCCTCGATTTTGGTGGGCTTCAGGGTTTTTTTGTGCTACCTGCTGATGGCCCATGGTCCTGTTCTTCTCCAGATGACCAGCACACTCCCCGAGAGCTCACCTCCCCTTTCTGCCATCCTGTTTTCTCTTAAAGCATTTCTGATTTCACTTCTCTTTCTGGGGGCAAGCAGAGATAAAGGTGTTTAATGGACATCTGAAGATTTATTTTTCCATTTGCAAACTTCTCTTTTCAGGCCATTTTGATTGTGAAGCTCCTTCTATGCCCCTTGGTCTGTTGCTGGCTGCTGCAGACCCTGGTGGTGGAGGAACTCAGGTGTCCTTCTCACCGTTTCCCTGGGCTGGACATGGTTAGCCTCATCTTCCCAGGTGCTGGGGCATTTCCATCAGTTCCTGAGGAAAACTCACAACTGTGCACACAGCTATTTTAGCTATTTTATTTATATTTTTTTTTACATACAACCCGTTCATGCTTTCTCTGTGCCCACGTGGTTTAACAACTTATTTTGGAATATTATTATTATTTTGACTCTAAGGTTGAAGTCTTTGCAGGCTGAGGAATGTTTCAGGCACAAAAGCTGCCCCCATTTTACATCCTCATTTGCTGATTTTCTCAGTCTGTACATGAGCGGCATCGCAAGATTCATGTTCCTACTTTCAAGTGAGAGCACAATCAAAGAAATTATATCCATCCGTCCATCCATCCAGGGTTCAGGCATGTCTGGGGCAGGTAATAAAATATTTTAAAAAATGGAAAATGTTTTTCCTGCTGCCTATTGCTGCCGCTGACAGCGCATCGCTGAGAGCCGGGAGGAGGTTCCTCCAAATTTAATAGCCAGGACTTCGATGGATAACTAGAAATAAATCAAGACAAGCATAGACCAGAGCCAAATGGTTTGCTACAGCTTGCAGGGAGAGCCTCGTGGTTTGGGAAGCACAGTGATTAATTTGTTTTCGTAAAGTAATTACCAATTAATCATTTGGCTAATGATGCTGTATTATGAATTAGTTCTAAACAGACTTCAGCCCAATTATAAGGACTCAACTAGATCATTTAATTGAATGTTTATTCTTCTAAAAGTGCTGCACCCGACTTCTTTTTTTTAGCAGCTGAACACATACATCTAACTGGAAAATGGCACACGTTTAAAATCACTGGCTGCTAACGATGCCTTAAATTACACCCTGTTGTAATTAGGAGGCTCAGTGGTGTATCCATGGCTGAGCTTGACCTCCATGATAATGCCAGTTGTTTAAGCGTGTAATCATTCTTTTACATCAGATCCTTTTTCCTGAAAATGTTGGTATTTAAGGGTTGGGGTTTTTTTTACTTTATCAGATGAGGGGGCCTAAAATAAACATTCTTCTCTAGGCTGACACGTGACAGCATTAACAATGAGTTGAAAATAAAATTGCACATAATGTGCTGTTTAGAAGAATGTCCTCAAAGTTGCTGCAGAAAATACCAGCTGTACATAGCAGACTAATACTTAGCAATTCAAGTTCCCCCTTGGGGGTACATCTGCCAGATATAAATATTAATGAAAGGGAATTGTGACAGGAAGATTAAGATTCATTAATCATTATTATTATCCAGCATCAGGTGCTAACGGGGCAGCCGCTTGGAGGGAGATGCCGTCACCTTGACCTAGTGCAGATATTCGTGAGGATGCCCTAAGAAACTGAGGTCTCCAAAGGAAGCAATAAGCACATTGCTGCGAGATGAGACGGATTTAGGGAGCAAATCCAGAGCTGGGTGGCTGGGGGTATGTGTGAGGTCCCCAGGAGGATGTGGTGGGACAGGGGAGGACCTGGGGCACGACCTCTGCAGCCGCTGTCCCTGCATTTGCCGGGGTGATTCCCTCTGCTCACCCCACACATCCAGGGAAAACAGAGTCAGAGGAACCAGGGGAAGCTGTGGCTCCCGTGCTCCTCTGGGACACGGGCGATTTCACAAACTTTCCCCTCCGACACGTTGTTGGAACACCCCGCAGCTGCCAGACCCTTATGGCTCAGGTTCATGTTGTGTTGGGGTTTTTGATGTCTCAGCCATGGAGTGGGAAAGAGAGGCCGCTGCATCCTCCCAGCTGATCCTCCCTTCCCAGCCAGGTTGGTGTCTATTTTCACAGCCCTCTGCTCAACCAGGCAAAGTTAACTCCTCACTCTCCACCACGCTCCCTTCCTATCACACGTATTGCCTCCTGCCTTCAAATCTTGCTTCTTCAAGTTTCCATTTTAGCGTTTTGACCGTTTTGCTCAGTACTAGCCATCACGGAGCGTGCATGCTCCTTGGTGCAATTGTAACAGAAGGAGTTTTGTGCCACCTCTAGTCTTTGGCGTGATTTTTTTCTCAGCTGATGACAGGAGAAGGTGCCCCAGTTTCACCCCGGACAGCAAGCAATGCCCCGTGCAGTCACTGAGGCACAATATCACCATCCAGGGGAGGGAGGTGCTTGGGAAAGCAGAAACACAGTCATCCCCCTCCACAACACATCCATTTCAAACATTAGCTTGGAGGAGTCCCACCACTCAGGTGATCCTGTGGTGAGGCTAATCTGGGGAATTCATTTCTCTGGTTATATCTACCAGTAGCAGAAACTAGCCCAAGGACACCAGCCTCGATAAAAGAGTACTAACTGAAATACATAGCACAGGCACTTTTTTTTTCCACGTGTGAGACTCTAATGATTGCTGCAGAAGTCGAAATAAAGGCTACATAACTTGGATCAGGTGTTAGTGTTTCTGCCTCCCCCACACCTGCAAATCCCATCAGCTGGTCTTCCTGGGAAAGGCAAAAGTGCCCCCAGCAGCCTGGAGGGAGTTAATGAGAACTGGTAGCGCTGGGGCAGGGAGAGAGAGATTTATGGGGGGGTTGTGTAGGTCAGTGGGGCTATTTGCTGTTTCGTCATCCGTTCCCACCTGTATCATTAATGGAGAAAGGATTACAGACAGGTCCAGCCTGCGCCTGCATCCCAGCCCAGCTCTTCTCTTCATGGGTCCAGATGTGCCTGCATCCCAGCCCAGCTCTTCTCTTCATGTTTTGGGGAACAATTATTCTGGACAGATGCCTCACTTGGATTAAACACACGTTTTTTCTGGTGAGAACGAAGATATAGCTCAGTCAAGATGTCAGGATCAAATCTGTTTGAGGGTCCAGGTGTGACGAGGAGCACAGCTTCTTCCCCTGCTGATGCACCAGCTTCCACGTGGACCACCGGGTCTTGCATCCCTCGCTGCTTCATTCCTTTGTGTTTCCATTTCTTCCATTAGTGCCCTCAGGCACCTTCAACCTATTCCTCTTCAGAAAAAAAACAGTTCCTAATGTCTGGTGTGGTTCCTAAATTGCACTGGCAAAGCAAAGAAGCCCACGTTAAGGTGTCTCAGGAGGAGAGTCCCCACCAGTGGCCTTACCTGGTGATGTGCACGTGCTGGTGTTGGTACAGGAGGTATATATATATATTCCAGGTATTCTCTAATCACTCACTGCAAATACAGCTCTGAACAGAAGCCAAGTTGTTTCATATTAATGAATTGCTTCCTTGCCTCTCCATCACGTTGCTGGGAAGGGACCTGTTTAAGCTTCTTTGTTTAATGCTGGGTTCTGCTCCTCGGCGATAAGTGCTACTTGCCAAAAAGCTGCGTTTCTAACGGAGTTCAAAGTGAAGATATTAAGTCACACACGTCGACGGAATCGGGATTTGGGAGAGGAAGGAGAGCTTAGCTAATCACTGTCCTTCTGGCAGGGTACACACCGATACACTTGACGGTTGCTGAGCTAATTTTCTCCCTAAAGCAGCATTTGGTGGGTTTATAAAGGGACCATTTCAGGTCCATGCTCTGCACCAGATGGGGAGACTGGAGGCCCAAGCCCCACCTTGCTGAGGTTGAAGAAGTTTTCCTATTGATTTTAGGATGCTTTGTATGTAGATCTTAAGGCCTGGAGTACTTTAGTAAAGAAGGCCTCTCGTAGCTAAATTCAGAGCCAGATTCCATGCCCTGCAACGTTTGTGTGAACGCTTCTATTGACTCTGAGGAGGTTTTTCCCCAGGGGTACACAGATTAACAAATAGTCCTTTTTCCCCCTTTCCAAATGAAATCTAACATCAGCTCCTGAGAAAGAAGAACCCACATTGTGAGAAATCCCCAAAGACAGTGACGGTCATGACCACTTCTGTTATTAAAGGGCATATTTTGCCATGGTTTGTTTGGTTTGTTTTATGAATTAAGTTTGTGAATTCATGAGATTAAAAGCTTAAATGGGATCAATGAAGACTACACAGCATGCATCAAAGTAATTGCGGATTGTTTTTCAAACTCCAGAGAACCACTAGTATTGAAGTACTAAGGGTTTAGGGCAATAATTATGAATTTTTCAAATAGAGAGATGAAAGGAAATACATTATCAGTACACGAGGCTGAACTGAACTGTTTGTTATTTCCAGCTGACTGGGACCTCTCTTGGGGTAAAGGTACACGATGTCCTCTCTAAGGTAGCAATCTGATCCACGGGGCAGTTTGAGAAAAATCATTTGCTCTCTGTGTACAGGAAGTTAACTATGTGGAAAAGTAATAAAGCAGCGTAAGCCTTTGAGAGAAACACAGAAGCTTCCAACTCTGCCCTCCATTCTTTCCTTTTTACCTCCGAGCGAGACTGTATGGAAAATATATTAAAATTCAGAGATTTGTTTAGCTCCAATTTCCAGATGGCAACATATGATATTTGCCGGCTTTTGATTAAAATTAGGCTTTTCTGATCCAGAAGGGTAAAGCTGGTAATGTTCTCATCTCCCAAATCCTTGATTTCTGATGTTCATTGTTTCCATAAATTATCAAGTCCAGCCAATAGAAAGCAGCTAATTTCTATCTAGTGGAAGTCAGGGAGATTTGTAGATTTGATATTGCGTAGTTTGAACTATTTTAATGTGCTGAATTGATGGAAATACTGAATTTAATATTCTCAGAACAAATCACACCTGATTTTCAGACAGATTTCCCTCCCTCCTCTGCCTGATCCCTTGAGTTTAAATAATCCCACTATATTTTGCATGGCTGTCTTTCAACGTACCTGAGACTTGGGCCTCCTTCGTGCTTAAAACCAGAAACTATTTCATACAGCCTGATTCGGTTCAACCAGACTCTGATTTGTCTTGCTTCTCAGTGAGGAGGTGGCAGAAGGATCTGAGGTACCCACAGGGGATGCGGGGCAGGGAAGGCAACACTGGCTTCTCCAGTCGCGTTCCCGTTTCCAGCCAGGGCAGCTATGATGGATACTGGGATGGATTCTCACCAGCTTGGTGGACCCACAGGTTTCCTGAAACAGCACCAAGCTCTTGTCCACTGTGGAAGGCAGGCAGCAAGAGCTTCAAGGTGGTGCACCACCTCATCCTGAGCAGTCCAAAAAAACCAGGGTTGAAGCTCTTGTCTTCTGCTGGGTCCCAGGATCCAGCCAAAACCCCTTCCTTTCCTGTTGAGAACACTGAAGTGCAGCACAGGCAGAAATTATTAACCATCATGTACCTTGCAAAGCTGTCACCTTCCTGGTCTTAGTGTCATAGTTATCCACAGGGAAAACTGGTCTAACTATGGAGATGGAGCTAAATATGATGCGTTTTGCCTCTTCAATCACTAAGAGAACAGAGGTAGCCCTGGTACATTGAGCTGCAGGCTGTCAATACCAATGCATCACCATTACAGAAGCACTCAAAGATTAACTAAATATTTGGAGCAAACACATCTATTTCGAACAGCAAGCGTCTATGCACATAGCAGGAATGGGAAAGAGCTTCATCAACTTGTGTGGTGTCTCAGAGAGGTGACACAGCTGGCAGCAGAAGAGTGTGTTGCAAGATTTCACAACTGCAGAGGAAACGCTGTGCTGACCTTTGTTTCGGTAAGATCCTCATCTGGTGGAAATCGGTCAAGATCCACCAAAGCCAAGTTGTTCCTGGATGCTGTTGCCCAGTTCTCCGGAGTCAAAACTTGATGTTTTATAGAAGCTCATAGTTGCACATATTAAAGTAATCAGGAGCATTTTCATTACTGACTGTGCAAGTGAAATGAAGACAGACATAATGGAAATGTGTTCAAAAAATTTTACTGACAAATAATTTAAATAAAAATGTTGTTTTTTTTCTCCTGTGTATGACTGTTCTGCACAGTAACCAGGTCTAACAGATGCCATTAATACAATGGAAGGATTGTAGTGGAGGGGAGAGGAAATGTATTTCCCAATCCCTACTGGAAATTATGTCTCTGGTTAATTCCTCCAAGCAGCTTAGATTTAAATAATTCTTATTTTTTTCCCATTGGCCATTTCCTATAGCTGCACATCCCTCAAGTGAACATCTAGCCTTTGGGATTAGCCACAGAAAAATACAGTTCTCTTCCTCACCCTCCTCCATTGGGATGTTTTCTAGAGCGAGTTTATCCAGGTTCCTCCAAATCAGTCATTTCCCTCTCTGCTGCTTTCTGCTGTCATTACGCAGTCCAGGTTATCACTTGTTTTGTTTGAGGGGAAGAGTATTTTTACCCCATACTCATGCAGATTTTCATGTTGTTGTAGGTGTCAAGAGCTTCTCATTCATGCCTGTGTTGACTCAATCTTTTGCTGACAAAGACAACCCCCTTGCTTTGTTCTCAGCACACTGCGCAGCCAGCACAGAGATCCCAAATACTTGTTTCTCCCTCTTGTTCTCCCTCCTTGTTCTCCAAATCTTCTGTCTCTGTGAGGAATCCATCACCCACAGCCAGGTCAGGACAGAGCTCTCCCTCTGTCCTGTAGGTAGGAAAGTACCCACCGGAGGAAAAGGTCTGATTCAGACCTGGCAGCCCTCTGGAGAAGGAGGTGGTTGATGGGGCGAGTTCAGAGGTGCTGTCTCTTAGGAGCTGGTGGGCTGACGACCCTTCATCGGCCACAGAGGAAAGTGCCTTCTTGTCTGACTCCAAACTTGGTGGGATGGTCTGAAAGAAACACGTACAAGACCAAAAGCTAAGGTCTCAAATGCATGAAGAAGCAGGGATAACACATTGGAAACCACGCTGCCTTTGGGGACACAGCAGTCCCCTGCAGCAATGGGACAAATCTCATCCAGAGCCAACGGTGTCCCCACATAACAGGAGGCTGGGGTCCACAGGCTTGTTTCAAGGGACAGGGACCTTGCCAGGGCTGTCTCAGGCATCTCCTCCTTGCAGGTAGCTCTACTTCCACATTATGTTTTCAGAGCACAATTCATCATTGTGTTCTTAATAGAGTCTAATTTTGGAGAACAGCAGGTTGTGAGATGTGCCCACCTCTCTTCCTCCCTTCCTACCCCTTTCAGAAACATTGAAGGTGAGTCTCATCTCACTTAATTGAACCCCGTTTAATCACACAGACTTTGAAACAGTCTGTGCAGGGTGACAAGAATTCCTAAGAGGCAGCTCACGTCATAGAGGGAGCTGAGGTGCCTCACTCAGAGGCGGGGGGGACATCCCCACCGCACACACCTAAAGGCAGCTGCAAGGGCTCCCACTCTTGCCTTTGGCTTATTTTGTTCATTTTTTTTTCCCCAGTTATGTCTCTTCCTGCCCTGAAAGTATGTGTTCAGGCAAAGGCCCTGCCTGCACAAATTCTGCATTTCTTTGTGTGTGACCTCAACTAAAGGAAAGTGCAGTAGCAACACACAAGCGAAGAACATCTCCACATCTGATGGGGCAACAACACTGGTGCCTTTGGAAAGGCCAGTGCAGCTGGTGGGGTCAATGTTCCCACTCAGAGAGGACAGAGCATTCCCTCACTCTGTGATATCTCGGGGCGCAATTTAACTTACTTTCTTGGCATCTCCAACATCCTGTGCACATCCACATTCACTTTCATCTTTCCCATCATTATCAGGCTTTTTTTCCTCTGTATTTAATCCATATGTGAGTGGCTGGCCAAGAAGCTCTTCAGTTGTTCTGTAACATGGAAAATATCCTGTGGAAACAGCTGAATAACTCGCTTCCTCATCGTGCTTAGTGTTAACCTCGCCATCGTTGAAGCTTTCTTCTGTTTCTGTGCTGATGCGCGATGCAACGAGGGAAGATGGGCTGATAAAGACGTAAGATGTTCTATAGAAGGGCAGGTACGGGAGAGCAAACGCTTGGACTGAGTGGTCACTGCAAAGGGAGAGTTTGGTACTCAAGTCTTCAGGACTGTCCCTGGTCAGCAGGACGTGCTCCGAGTCTTCTGGGCTGGATGGTGGGGGAGTGGTGTCATCCCTCTCCTCCAGATCTCCTGCAAGCTCCTGAAAGAAATTCATATTTGATCAAATATAACAAGATCATAATGGGCAAGAGCCATTAGCAAAACCAATCAATGACGTTAATGAGCTCTGCTGTCAATCCAGGGCATGGCACATCAGCCACTGCAAAGAGATAACGAGCTCAGTCAGAAGTCTGAGGATTGTAAGAGTTTGGCTGATGTATCTTTAAGTTCTTTCTCTTTGAGTCTTGAAATGGTTTCTCAAAGAGAAACCATTTCAATTAAATTTAAACACCATCTTAGCTCCTATATTCTCAAGCAGTTTTTAGGAGTTCACACAGGAAAATATGAAATTTCCTGTTTTCCCTAATGTTGATGAAGAGCAGCAATACCCATACTTCAGAAATAAAACCCCTGCTACCTGATTTTTTACAGACTACTGTTTGGCACTGTATGAAACCACAGCCCACAGGGACAACGTCTGTACCTGATCTGAGGTTAAACTTACATCTGATTTCGTGAGCTCCCTCGGCAGACTCCGAGCCAACAACATGGGACTCCCACAGGCTTGGGCTATTTTGGGTGATTTATGGCCTCCTGAAAATCTTGGTAGATCAGTGGTACTTGTGAGCATTCTGCAAATGGAAGAACATTAAAATTCGGGTAGAGCTTGAAAAAACCTAACCCTGTACAACCTTCTTCTCTGCCAGATATTTTCCTTTTGAATTTTCAATGCAACCCAAACTGGCATATGCAATTCAAGGCTTTGAAACAGTTTGGAGCTCCAGCTTTATCTCTCTCTATTTGAAAAGCCTATTTAAACCACTATTACAATACACTATTTAATTGAAAAAAAAAAGTAAAAGGTCATCTTACTGTTATAGAAAAACACACAGAAATAGTTTGCTACTAGAAAAATGATCTATCCCTTAGCTGCTTGCTGTCCTGGTGCTGTGAATTCCCAATCGACATTGACTTCCTTCTGCTTCTTTCTTATCAGGAGATCTGTCTCTAAGGCTTTCTGCATTTTAAGGATCTCTTACAAATATTCAAATGGGCCCACATTTATTCATTTGGGTATTGTAACTGCAGCCCATCTGTTCACAAGGGTGAGAGAAAGGATATTTTCATATTTACCAGGTACCCAGGAAGCATCCAAGAAGGGAAACCCAGTGGGGAGGGCATCATCCCGTGTCCACCTGGCTGCCTTGGTGATGGGATTCCGAGGCATCATCATAAACACTGTAGGTAGGAAGGGGGATGACATCGTCCAACCACCACTAACCCCAACTCCCTGAGCTGTCCCCTTCCTCAGTACATTTTTGTGGACATCCTGGTTTTACTGGGGTGCTCACATGCAGCCTGGCTTCCTTCTAAAGAAGCTTCAGTTGCTTTTATCCCTGTCAGTGAGATAAGGAACTGCTGAGATAAGCCCTAATAAACCAACTGGTCCCAGCTGGGGTGTTGGTCCTGGTTGGGGTGTTTCAGCAAAGCCAGGAGGGGATGGGCTCCTCCACCACCTTCTTCACTGGTGCAGGAGAGCTTGTTTGATGGACTCCCAACAAAACAACCAGCAGCCCAAGTGGCACAGCTGAAGGGACAGATTTCAACAGAAATAGCATCAAATGAATGTATTTTTTCCATTTTCATACTAATCGCTGCAAAGGCAGTGATAAGTATAAATTTCATTTTACCATGACAGTATAATGCATCTCTTTCTGATTTATAAACATAGAAAAAAGCACAGGAATGCCTCAGTTGTGCCTTTTAAGGCATTTTCAAAGCCATGTATTTCCATACTTTAAAAAAGTATGTGTCCTGTAAATATATAGAAACAAAGACATTCTGATATTTCACGTTGAAATAGTTATCATCTCTTTTCCTCCATTCAGGTTTAAAATATTTTTCGCTAAATTACATGATTTTTCATATTCCTGCATCAACAGATATGTATTTCAGTGTTTAACTGGCAAGTGTAATAGAGTGGAGCAGCTCCTCTGACAATATATTAAAAATGCTTATAAATACCCCAGTAACAGAGAAATTCAGAATAAGATTCATTCCCGCATACTATTTGATCTATTTACTGAAATTCCAGAGCTCTAAAGCACAGGAATGATTTTGAATGGACTATATTATTATTCATCCCATTTATTATCCCGGTTGCTGCCTGCAGTAAAAAGTGGTTTATTATAATGTGATTTCTCAACTGCATCAGTATGATATACCGGCAGCTAATGAAGTGTTCAGGCACCCAAAACCCCAGCTTCATTGAAATTCATTACCACAAAGATTCTGCCAGAACTAATTGCTGTCAAGGCTGCTTATGCATACGTCTTGGTTTCATTTCACAAAATGACAGAGCTAATGCTGGTACAAACCAATGTGAAAAAAAAATCCCTTCTAGCCCGCCAGGCACCCTGGCACAATGCAGGTTTCTCCAGCGAGCTGACATTCCTGCAGGGCCAAGAATAGCCTGAGGATTTGGATACCTTTTCTTCTTTAAATTGAAATATAGAATCATAGAATGGTTAGAGTTGGAAGGGAGCTTAAAGACCATCCAGTTCCACCCCCTGCCCTGGGAAGGGACACCTCCCACCAGCCCAGGTTGCTCCAAGCCCCCTCCAACCTGGCCTTGAACCCCTCCAGGGATGGGGCAGCCACAGCTTCTCTGGCCAACCTGGGCCAGGCTCTCACCACCCTCACAGCAAAGAATTACTTCCTAAACTCTAATATTAATCTACCCTCTTCCAGTTTGAAGCCATTACCCCTCGTCTTTATGTGCAGAGGAAATAATGACTGAGTGTGGGAGAGTCTTAAGGAAAAGATGGGGAGGTCTCTGCTGCCTCCAGCGCACCCCAAATCACTAGGCTTTGGGCAAGTCATGGGGTTTGGGTTGGGGAAGGAGTCCAAGACCTGGGATTTGAAGACAGGAGAAAGCAGGGGTGGCTGCTGAGGTGTCCTGTCCCCCTCTACACCCCTGGGTGCTGAGCCCCCACCTCCACCTCCTGCTGCCCCCACAGCCTTCCCTGATCCTCACTGTCCCCCCAAATTCATACCCACACCCCTAAGACCAGCCCCTCTTTCCAAGCTGCCAATGCTCTTTTGCAAGACGAAGGTTGCTTTAAAGACGCTTTTGTGGGGAAAAGCAATAAATGCAATTTGCTGGGAAGGAATTTGTGACCGCGGATGAAGTTTGAGAACCCGGGGACTGACTCGAGCAGATTTGCCGAACAACTCCATTTACGTGCTGTTTGTGCATTCCTGTTTCAAAAGTCAGCCTACGCGGATCCCTCCAGATACGCCTTGCCAAAATACTTGAGACTGCTCCAAGGGAACGATCTCGACTCTTGCAGGTGGGTTATGGACCCCCCGAGAGGTGCCGGAGGTGTCAGGGAGTTCACTAATTACGCCTCATTATGGCGTGTA